AAAAAAGCTTGATAAAACTTCACAAGCCTTGACGAAACAAATAGAAAGTAGGAGAATTTGAAAGTTTTTTTAATTCAAATATTTACACACTCAATATCCATTGAAGCCATATAATGAGAAGTTGTTTATTTCATGTACATTTACTCATCATTTATTGTCTTCTTTACACAGCGTATAATTAACCAGACACTAACCGATAACTGTGAATGGCACCTCAGAGCATCAAGGCATGGAATAGGCTTTGAACGCCGACTAACTGAAGACGACATCACCGACGAATCTCAAAAACACTTCCTTTCTAATCCATTTACTAACGCAACAATCTATGATGGAACGTCTCCAACGTTAAATGTAATTGATGAGAAATCCTATACATTAGCTTCTGGTTGGACTCATCAACTGTGGCAACCTGAAGCGACGTGGCAAGTTTATGGATTCCAGCCAAAAGGATTACTAGCTGTTATTGAAAAACAAAGAAACTCCTCAAGTTTCCAACGTTTCGCTTCAATGCATAAAGAAGGTTCCAATCAGTCGAACGTAAATAGCACCTCAACAATATCTCCATCATCCTCAAGTAATACTGTGAAAATAGGTTCACAAGAAATGTTAGTTTTAGAAGCGCCTGCCTATCACTTCAACACACTGCATCACAAAGCAAAACTTAAGCACTGTAGCATGCTGAAAAATAAACTTGCAAAACTCGTACAAACGGAATTGCTTATGAGTTTACAAATCCTAGATAAATATAGACAAGCATTTCGGGATTTCAAACGTCTTATTAACAAACATTCAATAACTAATCATAAGTATAGTATTAATAAGGTAACATCAAATGCTCTAGCGGAACTGCTAGATCAGTGGTTGATGCTTCTGGACTATAAATGGCGCCAGACAATTAGATTAACCTACAAAACAGATTCAATGTCCAATTATCAAGTGGACAATTGTTCGTTGAGTTTCAAATCATCGTTCGAGATAAACACTGTTGGTAATGATAGTGATGATAGAATACTAGTTAAATTTTATGAAACACAACTGAAAACAAAGATATATTATGATCTATTTGAAATTGTACAGGATATAGTCCAGTGGACTGGCGAACAAAAACGGCATTGGCTACAGAACCCACGGGTTATGAAATTATTTCATTATTTACATATCAAATGTCCATCGCCAAAAAAGTTGAGGCAAGCCTCATTCATATTAAGACAATATCTACCAAACTACTCACCAGAAGTCATTCATTCCAAGAATAATTTTCATTTTGGTCTCATGGGTAACTTGGAGCCAGCAACATTTAAAAAGCTCTTAGCACATGACATTAAATTAGCTAACAAACTAATTGACCGGGCTGTTTATATGAAATTTGAAGAGTATTATTTTTGGCCGATATTACGACATGTAAATACGAAAGCGATCGTGGAACACTCGATTTTCTTTGAAAATGATGTGCGCAATGAAATCAAACAAATGCCTTCGAATAGCATGTGCTACAGGCTATTTATGAGGAGCTGGAAATTTTATAGAGAAAATGATTCACCTAGATCATGTTTAAAATAATACCACTTCCTAAATTTACAATTACAATTATGTCAAACTACTACATAGTAGTATAAATCTCTTCACTAAAGTTATAGATTTTTATTTGGTTGTTCACTGTTTTCGCAAGTATCATTTTCACAGTATTTAACCCACTTAATACATTTCAATCAGTTGTTGTTTTTTTAATTTAAGAATGAACTGTGATGCATTTAAATTCATGATGATTTTTATTGTGTTTAATATTACTACTATTACGACCACCATTAGGACTATTGATATAATGTTGGACAAGGACGTTTACAACTGATACTCTATTAACATATACACACTATCTTCGTATTCAATTTCATTTGTACACAAGTACTATTTCGTCAGTAATGTTTGAGTTGAACACTAATTAAATGTAAATGGTCATTAAGTTTAATTGTGAATGACCGTGATGAACAAGTCAACATTACAAGATTATTCTAAAGTGAAAGAAAATAACATATGTATGTGCACATTCTTTTGTATATATTATACATACATACATCTGCAAATTATCTAAATACATATTTGTAATGTTAGTATTTAAAATATTCTCTTTTGCAATTGTTCAATGAATACTTTATAATGCTATATTCATAATGATATTATGAATCTAAAAAGAAATAGGAATATAAATCGAAATGGATATCGAAAATTTCCCACCTGATCGTTGTGTTTTTGTTCTAATTGCCTTCATTTTTTACCACAACTACTATCCTTTGATTATGTTTGTAATACGCAATTATACATGAACACACACGTATACTAATACACACGCAGACAGATACAAACGAATAAGTACACTTACACTTATTGTCTACACTTATGAATTACCAATGTTCCTTTTTCTTATTGTTAATAATAAGTGAGAACAAAAACATTTGATGGATAAAAAATTATTGAACTTTTTGATGAACACCAGATTATTGAACACTTATTTAGAACCTTTTTGTCTGAAAAGTTGTTCATGATATACATTCGTGGCTACCTAAATTTTAGTGGTGATAAATTCTGTATGTTAGACAACTTAGTAAGATTTCATTGTCATCGTGGACAATAATATCAGTGTTATGTTCTTCGGTTACCCAACCACACACATACATGCATACTCTCCATATCAACCCCAGTCTGGTATAAGAGTGAGAAGACTAGGAATGTGTGGGAAGCTCTAGCTGACGACCGAATCAAAGTGTACACGACTAATACGTACGCACATGCGTATGTCTCCTTCCACATATCTTACCTATTGTTTGACCTTAAGCTAGCATGTGCACACAGGAACGTGATATTTCTGCACTAGCCCACTTTATCAGTCATACGTTGACTTTGAAGTATCAGTTTGAGTTACAAAGCTTCTCTACTATCCCATGGATATTTAAAATTGGTAATACGTTATCTATTATATAATGGAAGGAATGATCTTTATAAACCGTTGCTCTATATTTACTAACTTTTACTGGGTAACATTATTGATTATTGAATCAATTTATTGGAACATGTAACATCCGTAGCGTCACAATGATTCCACTTGTTTGTTCGTCGTAGTGTTGGTTTCTTATAATTGAATGTGGACCCGTTTACATTAGATAAAGAACACGTACAATCTGACTCAGTAAAGCCAAAAGCTTTTATACAATATTCATTTATAGAAATCAATGCTAACCAGTCTTTATCAAATACATTAAATAGATTCTGTCTAATTTAGGAATAAATTTTTTTACTGAGAATCATATTTCACCCAACTGTTCACAACAGATCTAATAGGGGTTTACGTGAATCAGTATATGGAAAATTGTGAATTAATACAGAATGAGTATTCACATTGACCAATCATATCATCTATATTACGATTTGGAGTTATATCTTCTCTACAACTGGCTATCAACATACGACCAAACATCCAGACCCTGTTATAATCACTTCCGTTCGGTTAGCCGAATTTCAATGTGTCTCTATGTGATTGGTGCAAGTGACCTCAAATATGATAGACTGACCTGGACAGGTAGTGAATACAATGGAACATAATTTCTTTCAGACTAACCTTTATGATTCAGTCACTTATATGACGTTTATGAGAGTTCTCACAGTATAAAAGGCCCACATTTAAGAGATTCACCGATTTTGTGAATATTGTTAGTGCTGAAGTATACGAAGTTTGCAACTGATTTTGACGAAGACAGACAGGGTTGACAAACGAAATCTTACCTTAATATTGGAAAAATAGATGACAATGCGTTACACTTTGACGTTTATGTGTACAGACAATATTAACCACAATAACACTTCTTATTTTTCAATAAACTGAATTATTTTTGTGTTACTTTGTGAAGTAAGAAATACCATCTTATTCAGCCTTGATTAATTTCGTCTTCATGTTGACTGTAAATCTAAAGGCTAGACAACAGTTTAACGATAATTACGAAGTAGAAATCTGATTCGCATGCTAAATACAGGTTTAAGTATTCGGCTCTGAATCTCATTGTCCGCATGAAGACTAACTATATTGCCCATCTAGACAAACTTTAGTGCGTAGAGCAACGTCTGGACTTTCTTTCGAGATCATACTACTAGGTGAATTGGTGCAACGACGGAAGCACAACGCCAAGTACTTGGGGGCTCCCTTGTGGAAGAAATGAGTAAACTACAATCACTTAGTCATAGATGCTTTCAAAGCGTTGTTCACATTTGGTGGAACAATCGAGTGAGCCACGCCGCGGTCACCAGACAAAAATGAAAAACGCGTTGGTGGGACTGGAATGTGTACTGCGTGTGTAAAACAACCGCCTACCTTAGCTGGGTTAGAGATAGATGGGAGAAAACCACAGGCAGCCAACCCAAGACATCCCACCAGTCCATGAAGTCAATGTCCGTCGGACTGAACCATTGTGTTAGGTGCGGACTACCTGGTTCGGAGGCATCGGGTGACTATAGTGTTTAATGCAAACAGGCTAAATCCATACAACTGTATACTCATTTCGACGGAACATGCAACTACCAAACGCATTACTTCAGTTCTATTGGTTAACTTCTGCTCAGTTGTGTAATTAGTTTGAATGCTACATATGCGAGTCCTTCTAACATACCAGTGTTTAGTTGCCCGTCTATCTATCTGTTAATTACATTTCATCATTACATTGATCTATAAATATTTGGGACACGCTGATGAACAATTGAGAATCCGGACAGTTCGGACTCGTTTCAATTCACTGCAGATTAGACCAGTCTAATGCAATGCTGGATTTATTTCATCCTAATCCCTATACTATGGTTATTTCAGTCCAGCTGTGTTCGTTAAGTTCTATCATACTGTGGTGTTTGAATTAACTAATGATTCTTTTGTAGTTGTTGAATGCTCGATTTCGAATTCTAAATACAGTACATTCGTTGTGCCTGTGTCTTCTTAATTCAATTGCGTTAATCCTGGAATTCCTAATTCATACGAGTATTCGAATATTATATTGGCGTCACGATGGAGCCTGCAATGGAAAAGTTAGATATTCATTCAACTTCAGAAGCTTTTGAAGATTACTTTGAAAGGTTCGAAATCTGGGCTATGACCAAGGAAGATGATGAGGATGTTAATATTGTGGCACACTTCCTCACATTCATTGGAAAAGAAGCATACAGCTTATTAAGAACTCTGGCTATGCCGGAAAAACCCATTTCGCTTTCTTATACAGCTCTCAAGGATCTACTGCTAGACTATGCTCAGTATACAAATTTCAAATGTCGTAAAGGAGGAAGATTTCGTAAAATGATTCATGAGGATATAAAAAAGTCCACTACATTACTACGTCATCTCAACCTAATGCATACTCAAGGTTATGCAGACAATTCATTGAATTTGGATGCAGTTCACGAGGATGGGGACAAGTTTGGTCAGTGTTTGTCCTGTTGCAAGTTCCACTCTTCTAATTCATGTAAATTTCATAATTCTAAATGCTTCAAATGTCGTGATATTGGACAAGTTCAGTCAGTTTGTAATGCTAATGTTCATCTTACTGCAATTAATATTAAGTCTTGTAATTCTGATTCTACTGAGTCGAGTATTCATGATGATCATTTATCTTTATCAACGATTTCAAAAGACAGTGCAGAGTCATATGGCAGTTCAGAGTTAAATGAAATCCAGAATTCTTGTGAGACAACATTTCCTAATCAACCGATTTATCAGAATTCTCATGCTATTGTGCCAGCTATGACTTTTCCTAATGATTCACATATTTCTAATGAAATTACTTGCAATTCTGAGGAAAATATGTTAAATGAACCTAATCATGATCGAAAACCTGATGTGGTTTGGATAGATGCTGATTTTTCTAACGATCCTACGCTCTGCAATGACAGTCCTGATGAATTTCATGAGAATATTTCAGAAGAATCAAATCCTGATGTCATATCATATATTACCTATCCTCATAATGTATTTGATCTTCGTGAAAAACCTGCCCAATGCGAAGCGCGAGTACTAAGTGACCTCGAGTTTTATTATATTTCGGATGATTTCATATCAACTGCTGTTTACTCTTATCACAAAAACAGTTCTAATGTTTACTCTAAACAATGTGAGATATGTGTTTTAAATGAAGCCACATTATTCATAACTTGGGAGTATAAAGATCCAACATTATTTCGTGGGGGGGGGGGATAGTGTTGAAAAATCTATGGTTCGAATTCTAGATATTAATGATTTCATTACAAAACCGACATGCTGGTTGTATACAATTCCAGGTGAGTCTGTTCCGATTTCGTTTGTTAATTCCAATACTAATGAGCACTTTCTAGATACTACAAAGTTTTTATCTTATACAATGTCGGACAGACTCAGGATGAACTTAACAAGAAGACGTACAACCGATTACAAACACTTATACTTCTATTTAAGCTGTGGCGGATGTGGTGTTTGAATTAACTAATGATTCTTTTGTAGTTGTTGAATGCTCGATTTCGAATTCTAAATACAGTACATTCGTTGTGCCTGTGTCTTCTTAATTCAATTGCGTTAATCCTGGAATTCCTAATTCATACTATAATTAGAATACTATACATACTTTGATTGTTTATTATTACTGTACTTGTCAGTTAATTCAACTACTTGAATATACATTCAGGGCCATTCATAGTTGAGTTCTTACTTAATCCGTCCGTTCTCAGTCATCAAGTTGGTGACAATCAATATAACTGTGACATAGCTCCGAATCCGTCAAGCGTGGTTGCATCCAACATTTATCTCCTCCTACATCCTCGGCCTCGATATTGTTTCAAGATTGTTATGCTGTTTCAGTCAGCCAAAAAAATTTCACTAATTATCGCTCTTGAGTCAACTTTAAATAAATGCTTGCCTTGGTTGAAACTATATCGATTCACTGCAATTTTTTATTTCGTTCACAAAATGAAGAAATAGTTTCACTGATAGTAATTAATCTCCCAATTGAGTGGCCGACATTTTCGTAATTTCTCCTGTTTTGCACTTCAACTTGGGGAATATACCCTCCCGTCTCGCTTGTAGTGTGGAAATTTCGATGTTTTTCTTGAATTATCAGGAAATGTAACAGAAACTCATAAAGGACTCCCTCTGACATCCAGCAGTTGACTGTTGAGTAAAATATTAGTGAGAATTCAGTTTACCCTGCAATTAAGCGTTTGCTCTCAGTAATATCTCTCCAGAAGGGTCTCTAAGACGACTGCGTATAGTACCAGACAGCACTTAACAGATAGAATGGTTGACCTACTATGCTTATCTACTATCTACTAAAAATCTCTTAATCATATGGACATTACTATGCAGGCTATGGTCAGTTTATCAGTCACTACGGAATTATACTGGCACACACATAGACTATACATTTCTAGTATTAATTGGCGAAATATCTGAAATGGTGAAAAGTCAATGGGAGCTAACCTTTATCATGACATATGCTATGGAAGTGTATTCAAGGTATACTAAACCTTGTCAGTGTACTCACCAATCAAGTCTCAAGGCTCCTCAGACCAGTACATCCTACTTCATCATCATTGTAAGATCCAAACTGAGGTTTGGACTGAAGAATAGCTGTCTAGGTGGGTTAGATACGCGCCCTCGCCCGGTTGAAGCCAAAAAAAAGTAATTTGGTAAAATGACCGTTCTAATATTCATCATAAATTTAAATGTACATCGTTGCCTAAACATATATGACCATCCAGCTGTCCAACGAATAATTGTTCAATTAATCAAATTTAAATCACAATAAATAAGGAAGTTGATAAAGGATGCGAGAAAATTACCAGTCACAGTAAATAAATGCTATTCTGTCCTGTCCGGATAGAACACGTACAGATTCGTTCAAAAGATAATGTTTGGTTGCTTTGTAACACAGAGTGTTTACAATTCTGGAAGAGTGCCTCAATTCACAATCAAAAATGCACAATTCCAGTCAATACAAGCAACGCAATCAAAAGGAGGAACAAACCAACATGGCTGCCGTCAAGACTAAGTACTAAGTAAAACAACATAAATGCAGTTCAGGAAGAAACACGGAAACTTAGTGAAGGCGTAAGAAAAATAAAAACTGTAATGATATACAAATATTAACAACTCAAGTGGAATCAAAAAGACTAACAATGTACAACTAAAGGAATCAATAGGAACAAACTGCAAATGTATATATGGAGGGATTTTCACACACAAAATATTCAAAATGAATCTTACAATCATTACCCGTGTTACTCCAGATGAATTAGACACTTTTGATGCAGTGACAGCCACCACTAGTCTTGGTATAATATCACATCTCCGGAGAATTTAGGACCTGTGAGATCCAACGCAAATTTACCAGATAACATGAGAGAAACTTAAAACGAGCTTCACTAGAAATCCAGTACTTGTCTGTTGAACAACTAGACAGCGAAAAGCTAGACATGGACGATTATTCAAGTATATCTGACAATTCGGACCTGAGTGGTTCAACTCAGACTGGCAAATCAAATCTGCTTATTCCAAAAAACGTGAGGAATCCAGCCCACCGAATGCTGGCATTTTATTTGGTGATAACTCTCAGTGTAACTTACTCTGTATCTGTTTTACCCGAACGTTTTCCTTCTCCAATGCACTGCTTATATTATAATGTACAAGATCATGACCAAAAATATTGGGGATCAGAGAGCTCACAAACGAAAGACAATCAGGGATTTGTCGTACAAATGACATCACAAAAGATGAACTTCCTCTTAACGGCTTTAAGCTGTTTTGTGAAAACAGACATAACACTCCAGATAGTGGGGTTTCGGTTTACGCATACAGTATAAACAAAAAGGATTCTTTATAGTGTGGCGTGAAAATTTCTTGGGGCTATTATCTGACAAGTGTTCTTTTTGACCACTTAAACACTCTTGCTACAGAAGTAGCTCAGGGTATGTAACTGACTTAAGTGTTATCGTGAATATATTTGTTTTACTGAGACTTTGAACTTGTTTTGGAGATTTTCGGTTCCATACTGGTTTGGTTCGATGTTTAGGTAGTTTATTTGTAGAAACCTAAAACCTGAAGGTTTATGGTGGGCTCTGTCATAACTATTGGTAAAATAATGTTTTTTGACTAGTTGTAGTTTGCGAATAAGCTTTAGATAACTGAGTTGGAATTTGATTTTGTTGTTGTTTGATTCGTAAGTTCCTGATGTACCAATCGACTCTGTCTGAAGAACAGACCATAGCAGTTTTTGGAAGCATCTCTGAACAGTCGGTTCCTTCAAGCAATTGGAGATGGTTTTGAGATTACTTTCCCTCAAATATTATCGGTGTAAGATTTCAGTCTCTCAACTCTTCTTTCTGTGTGAAGTAATTCCGAATTGACAACTGATATCGGACACTTGGTACAAAAATTTGGTTTGTCGGAAAATGTAGCTGAGCACACTCACTGAGGACTAATTGAAGACAACTTTAGTCTGGAATACATTTCTTCTAACCATGAATTGAAAGTTAACGTCCCACTATAATTGAACTACATGTAATAGAGCAAGTACGCCCTCATATAATTCCTTCCCTCATTATACAGCCTTACGAAAAATAAGGCAAATATCTCGTTAGGTATCACGGGTCGGAATTATCTAACAGTACACAGATTCCATAAGCTGCACCCAGGGAGTCTCAGTCCACTCATTCCCAGTATATCACACTTCTGTCCGATGAGTTCTTTGCCCCCACCGACTTAAGCTTCTTAGGAGTTCAGGGGCTTTCGAACCCACACAAAACTATTCTCCAACTGGAACTTTACCAGGGAAGAAGGGTTTAATTACCGACCACTGAACTGAAGACTTTTGGCGGATTAAAAACTTTTATTGTACATTAATAATTTACTGTGTTTTTGGATGTAATTGTTTTATTTAACTTTTGAACTTGTTTGTTTATATCATTATTTCGGACATTTTGGTTTGGTATTTTGGTGCTCTCTTTGTCTTTGGTTTGGTATTTGGGAGGTTTGCTCCGGGAACCTACAAATTTGAAGGTTTGTTTTGTATATATTGTAATAATTGTTGTTAGAACGATATTTGGTCGACTATTTGTGAATTACGAATAAATTTGGTATCTAAATTGGAGCTTGGTTCTGTTGTTAATTTGGGTTCGTAATTTGCAAGTAGATCGATAGTCCGTACTTCAATAACTGGAACGAGCAAAACTTGGATGTAACAGAGAGGACGTTCATCAATTGAAAATCTGATCGCAACACTACGAATAGACGTTGAACAGTCAGATGGATGGAATTCGTCACCATACATCTACTTCTTTGATTATGAGAAAACGTTTGACAGTACGTATATGAGAA